TTCTGTTGTGACAGAATTATAAAGTTGGAACCTGGCAGTTCTCTCCAGCGGCTTAGAAAAAAGACACAAATGGCACCTTCAAGTTTCTTTCAGGGCACAGTTCCATGAGCACAGCCGAATCATGACAGGTGCCACACGGTGTTTCCAACAGTGTCTCTGTAAAATGTGCTCAGATAATTTTTATAATCTGGCCCTGTGGCACCTCCACCGTGTACGTGATGGTTCTAGTTTCTGGTTTCTCCAGCCTGAAAGTTTAAGTCGTCTGAACACAGTAATGTCTTTGAAATGATCAGAGGAAGGAAACGGGCAGCTGTAATGACAGTCAACACTGATGATGAATGAAAGGAGATGATTCACATCTGCCACACAGACAGACTGCTGTAACAACCGGAGCGGGGTACAGTTTATGGTTAAAGTTAAAAAAAATTCCCACGGTTCAGCCTGATCTAGACATCTGACTAGCATCAGCTGCGTCTTCAAAGATAACTACTAATGTCCGCCTCCATGGTCGTGCCTTGCACCAGTGGTGAAAAGTAACTGATCATATCCACTTAACCAAACCAAAGTGAACTGTTTGCACACAGGCCCGTGGTTTGACATGTGGCCCTAATTTTTTATGTTCAAAGTCTATGAGGTTGCAGTGTTAATGACCACACACCAAAGCCCTAATTATAACATAAAGTACACATTTATTCAATTAACTCACTAATTTAAGTTGCTTTGAGGAAGGTCGTCTGCCAGGGCTTACTCTAGTCCTGATAAATAGGACCTTTCATGTATATTCTGTGAACCATAAAGACCTCAGCCCTCGGTTGGAAACCACTGCCCTCTAGTGAGTATTAATGGATCTACACTGACGCAGATTTGAGCTGAGTTGATGGAAGTGTCACCATGTCTGACAGACTTCGTTATAGGTTCTCACAGCAGCACAGGAAAATAATTCATTTTTAATTATTTAGTTTTTAATTTCTTTTCTTCTTCCATTCAAGAAAGCTCATGATTAATCATGGCCATTTGTCCTTAGTGGTGAATCTGGAGGGAAATAATTAAACTCTTCAATAAATTCTGGTCTGTACTCTCTCTCTCCCCTCACTCCCTCACTCTCTCTCTCTCTCTTTCTCTCCCTCGTGTGGAGAATTAAAGGAATGGCCTTTTTTCGCTGATGCTCCGCTCAGCTTTTCACGGCTCTGATGTTGTCTGCCACCAAATCCCTTCTGAATAGGAGTAAGAAATTTAAGCAGCAAAGTCATGTTTTATGTACGCACGCTTACACAGTGAAACCGAGCTGCTGAGAATGGGGCCAGGCATCACACAGGGCTATCTATAGCTGTATAACCAAACAGCTAGGCACTTTATCTGTAGAGAATCGGCCAATTTATGGGCAAAAACCGCAACACATTTACATTAAAATATGTTGAAGTAATGTTTTTATTTCTTTCTGCAATTTAAGTTATATATATGCAAACTAATCTGACTTTTTAGTTTACTTAAAAATACTTTCTACTTTAATTTGCGTGCTTCCAAAACCAACTTCACATTTGTTATTCAAACTCATTATGAAGCAATAGCTTTTTAATAAAAGATAAGCCTGTAGACATTTTTGTATTCTGTGTAAACAGCCTCCCACAGTCATCTGCAGGGGGCGCTGTGGTCACAGTTGAAATCAGTTTTCACATCTTAAGTCATAGGTGTGCACTTCTGTTGAGCTGCAGCTCTGCTTGAATGGTATTTAAAACATCCACTAAGTTTAAAACCAACCAAGGTCGTCATTTTATAGACGTTAGAGTTGGGTTTCTGGAAGATGTTGGTGTAGATTCTCGTCCATCCAGGTCATGGTACTTGAAGGCTTATCAGTCATTAGCAACATGACTTTGGGTGTAGCCACAGTCATTGCAGCCTCTATTCACTTCACTAAAGCCTCACAGCACACACTCATTTTCTAGTTGTTCAGTCAAGTTTGGCATTTGGCCTCTGAATTCTCCCAGCATGCTCTTCTCCTCCCTCATTTGGAATGACCCTCATAAGAGTTGGTGGTTTTTAACAATACAAATGGTTTACATAGTTTTATCTTGGGCCACATCCTTTAATTTAATGATGCAAGGGTTTATTGGTTCTCAAAAGGATTCTTTCAAGTACCGGCTGTGATGGACATTTTAGATACAAGCAATTCCAATTTTTATAATCAACATTGTAAATTTGCAGGCAACAGAGTGGAAGAAGTTATTAGTGCTCCTTCCTTTCAACAAGATGATCAGTGATTTACTGGGTTTTTTGCTGTATACACATTCTTTTGTGTGTATGTGTGTGTCTGTAACCCTGCCATCGTCGAGTGCCAGGATTTAGCCTGAAAGGAAACGTCAATATTAGATGGTTGAACTTTAAAGTATACTAGTCAAAAATCATGTTATAGCCAAGAGTTCCTAACACCTAACACAGTGTTTGTATTAGCTGTTGATTTAAAATAGCATTCACTGATGTCCTCATGCTCATGTGCTGGACTTCCTGATCATTGCTCTTTTGTTTTATTCTGTCTACAGTGAGTCACCTTGGCACTGATTTAGCCTCCTATGTTTCCTGTAGAGCATCTACTTTCTCCTTCACCCTCCTCTACTTCTGCCTCATCAGGACAACGTCCACCTTCAGACTAAAGGCACCCACAGTAGATTTATTCCAAACCAGGTTTCTTTTTTTAATTACATTGTTCTAATACTGCAGTACTTTGCGTCAGGGTGAGTTGTGAGGTCAATGCATTCAAATCAAGAGGCATCTCTGTGCGTGTCACATACAGTATGGTCTCATAATAATATATTTAATCTTGCAGTGATCTGAAGCTCTGTCTAATCTGCACCCTGGGGTTCACATCAGCTGAGATGCCATCTGCTGATTGGACGTGTGGCAGTGTGAGTCCATGATGCAAATATAGGCTTTTACATAGAGAAGTAAATCTATTTAAATCTATTTCTATTAATGCCATCCGAAAGAATACGTTCTTATGAGAAACTTCTGCTAAGGAACATAACTTCTAATCTGTTATAGAACCCTGACTGTAACCTGACTCCTGTGACTCTAGAGAAGGACCTTGATCATCAGTTCTTGGTACATGAGGTTCAGACGTTCTTCGTCAATTTGCATACACAGGAACGTTCATTGGTGCCATTCGGCGTCAAGTGACATTCAGAACAATTCCTGAACCAGTAAAATGGAACTAATGTTCCTCCTTCCATTATTATCAGCAGGGGGCTGGGTTCAGTGAACATCAGCATGCTCTCCTTGTACTGTTCTGTTGACTTTCTGCAGGAAGATAGGACATACCCACAACTAGCATCGTTTAATCCCTTAGAAAATGGACATCCTTTATGTCCGTAACCATATTCAGAGGTTGTGGCCTCTCCATATGTCTAGAGAAAAACTGACAAGTACTGAAACAACTACCTCCAATTTTTTTTTTTGTGCTGAACCTACTTGCCAGCTCATAATTAGTTTCTGGAACCAGAATAATGCAAAACCCATGCAAAAATAAAAAAGGACTATGCAGTACTTCAAGTCCAGCACTCCCTCCCTGACCGTGCTTTGTGCTCAGCTCCAGCCAGTAGCCATCAAATCAAGCCTCAAATGACCGGAACATAGTAATCATCCAACAGCAGAAATTCTCTGTCCACGTTAATCAGCCATGACCTAAAGCCTAACTAACCCTCACATTTAAATCCATTCATGAGTGTGTGAGTTGTTCTGGTCACACACACACACAAATATACACCGTTGCACCACTGTATATTGACAGCAACATCTTTAAAAGATCAGCCGCAGCTACACAGCTGCAGGGCAAAGGAAGCATTTATTAGCAATTATGTTTATGTATTCAGAATCGATTACATTGACTTAGGTCTGACACAGGTTGGCAGTGGTTTCTCAACATAATAAGGTTTCTGGTTTGGCTCCAGGTTGGACTCGAACCTTGTATATAGAGTTTTTTTTTTTTTTTTTTTAGGGGATTTTTTTATTTATATTCATCATCTGTTTTACTTATTAAATTAAAATGTGTTCATTGTAATACAATATGATCTACAAAATGAGTTTTGGGGGTTTCTCTGTATTAAACTCTGTATTTGTTTAGGGTTAATGTCATTAAACTCAAGACAGACAATTCCCCTGTTTTCACGGGAGAACCATATGGTTTTGTCGTCGGCTGCTGATCAAAGATTGACCCAAATAACTGATTTTCTGTGAAGCAGAAACACATCCTACTGCAGCTGACACTATTTGCCCGACAATCTGTTTTCATAGGAGTGGAAGTCTGTTACTGTTGATATTCCGGCTCTCTGTTCTTCCATTTGCTGTCTGTCTGTCTGTCAATTTGTCCGCCTGTCCCTTTGACCATCAGCTCAGTCAGCATCTGTTCATCGTTCCTTAAAGAAGCTCAGAGGCTCAGCTCAGCAGATGGACAGTAGCAACTCTTTCTCTGGGGAACGGGGACTAAAATCAATAGTTAAATCAAATCACTTGGCCTGTAACGAGCTGGGTTTCTCTCTCATTTGACACTTTGGTAGAAAGAGACATTGAATTTATTCAAATATGTATGTAAACAGAGTCAGAAATAATTGTTGAAACATTTGTGGATGTTTACAACTAGATTTTGCTAAATCGTGTGTGTATATATATATATCTCCAAATTTCCATTTATTTCCATTTATGCATTTAACCTCCCTGTGAAACACTCCAATTATGAGCACCAGGGGGCAGCACTTTTTAGTGCTCCTAGGAAGCAGAGGAGTTTTGGTTGTTGTTGCTCACAACAGTCCTACCAGGACCAGGATTTGAACCCGGCAGTCCTCCAATTAACATGCATGATGTTAATCAAATGCAATTCTATAGATCTCATGTAACCATTGACAAATTCCCATGTAGAAGAGCAGGTGTAGCCATGAACAACAATACTTGGTCGAGAAGCTGTAAAGTTATATGGATATAATTATTTAATTGTCTTGACTTTTCTTAACCAGGGAAGAAGACCGGAAAAGGTCCCAGGTCCTGGGATGACATCCTTTTGCCTTTGCCTCGTCTGCCCTTGTACTCTAGGAGGAGTACACTGGACAATACTCTGAGGTAAGAACACGATACAAAAATCATTTTAACACCTTCTATGGGAACACATTTCCTCCTCGATGAAGTTGACCTTCAGTAATTGCCGACTTTTGCGCTACTCTCTACTAATTCTCCCTATTCATCGACTTCAATGCCAGTTTTCCTTTTTATAATCCTGTCTTTTAGTGGGCCTTGGACATTGATCAGTAGTCAGTGGACTCAGTTTAGAGTGACCCGCTGTGGTCACTTTGTCACTCAGACGCTCACACACATTAATGGAAATAGGGGTCCTGGCCTTTGCCTTTGAAGTGTCTGGTTAGGGATAGAGTTTGGAGATGGATGGTAGTTGGAGTGTGTGACACAGGAGAAGGAGGAGGAGGAGAAGAACAAGGATCAAGGGGTCAGGAATTTGTGGCTGAGTTCTTGGTGTCCCATACATCGACCTGGTGACACCCATGCCTCAGAGAAGTAAGGTCATCTACTTGTGACTACATTAGAATCTCACTACATTTTCTCCATAAATCTACATATTGTGGATCGTTTCACACTTTTTAAAAAAAAAAAAAAAAAACCCAGTTAGTTTTTTTTTAAGTATGAATTTGTGTAGCCAGAACAGTTGGTTTATGTTTTCAGCCATCACACAACACTGAACCCTGACACTGGCTCTTTATCATCTCTGTCAGCTCGAGGCTTCGCTGTAAAGGGCACTGTCTGTGAGTTATGTGAGCTGATAATAATGTGTGGTCAACACAGCACCACTAGCAGCAGCATTTATAATAATGTGTGGTCAACACAGCACCAGCAGCAGCAGCATTTGCAGCAGCAGCAGTAGCATCAGCAGCAGCTGTCTTTTTTTCCTGTCCTGAGTCTCCATTACAGATTTGTTGTCCCCCGTTGCTCCTGTCTCTCCACCAGTCCAGTTTCCAGCCTGTCCTGGTCCAGCTGTCTCTTTCCTTCATTGTCTCCCTTAGCTGTGTGAGGAAGGTCACCTTCAAAATAAAAAAGACTCTGACACTAGAGCTGCACAGTTAAACTATATTGCAGTTACAATAAACCATTTTTAAACTCAGTTCATTCTGACATATATAAACGTCGATATATGAGCGAAAGGATGGTAATACTTCTGGAAACCAGTTCAAATAAAAAGTTCAGACCATTACAAGTCTCCTTTGTAACTTTAAATCAAGTTTATTTTTATTAAACAAATTATTATTTAGCATTTCATACATTATTTTTCATTTACATGTGCATATCTCTGAAGTCAATCCTGTGTGTAATTTAGGAGACGTGGCTGAGCTAGCTTCTGTTTTAAAAGTCTTATTTTATAGGGGAAATAGCAGATAAATAACAAATCAATATTTAGCAAAAACAAAAATCACCCAACCCTACTAAAAAGTCATGTACTCGAAAACCAAACACTGGTTGAAAGGAAAAGCATGTCCTACTAAAAAGTCATGTACTCGAAAACACTGGTTGAAAGCAAAAGCATGTTTTTTGTAAAACAGTCATTTTTCTTTCCTGTTTTGCAAACTTGTGTTAAATCACTTTTTGAACAAACATTGTCTTAAAAAGTGGAGAAAAAAAGGGGAGGTAGAGTGATGTTTTGCAAAGGAGGGAAATAACACACTCTTACACACAAACGCATACACCCCTGGAGCATTACTCAGTCCTCCTACTGGTTTTCCATAGCAGTGTGCAACAATAAAGCTTAAGTGTTTGGTCTTGTTTACCACGCAGTTCAACAGCATGTGTTGTTTACACTCAGCTTTGTGCCAACACAATTAGAAAGAGTGAACCATTTAACTGTCATGATAAATAAATTAGTCTAATTGTTCGCAGCCGTGCGTGGAGGTCTGTGAGGATGAACTGAGTGTAGGTCTAACTTGACGTCTATATAGGATTTCTTGAAGTTCTTACTTCCTTTTTCCAGACCAAACTGGCAGGTTTATGAAGTAGTTTATACCTGGTGTAAAAGGTGTCTTCATACTTTACCGTTGGCAGCAGAGGAGTTTCCCCTTCTTTGACTCTAACCACAATAAGTTCATTGAAAACCAACAATGTGTAGAAGGAGAGGAAGTGACACGTGGAGCACACAAGTTTCACTTCCTAAAACAGGCATGTTCAAAGTCCGGCCCAGGGGCCGATTGTGGCCTGTGGTTAAATCTTTTACGGCCCTCAGCCTCAGTCATAAGATGCATCACTTGTGGCCTGTCAGCATTGTGTCCAGAGAATAAATTTCCATTTGCAATACAATTTCCATAAAGAGTTAATTTGTATTTAATTGTAATGGATCAAAGACAGTCTGACAGAATGGTTGGCCCTCAGGCATGTTCACTTCATCAATGTGGCACCACTGGAAAAGATGAGAACCGTGTCTGGGCCTGAGAGTGAATTCTTACTGCATTCACCCAGGTGTCATGTTTTGTCTCTCGGCCGAAGCTGATAAAAGCCCTGAGTCTCTGGTCTTATCTGACCTCTGCCTGAACACTGATGTTATCATAGACTGAAGCCAGATGTTACTGGCTGTTTATGGAGTGCAACTTGGAGCACGATAATTTGGATTTCACTTTTTTATTAAATGCTGTGAAATCTGCACTTTTTTTAAAAAAAACTTTACTACTTTAACATTTAACTGGTTACGTGTGTGATTTAATTTGATTTCAGTAATATTATAATATTTTTCATTTTAATTATAATTTTAAAACTAATACCATTGACCCAAATTGTGAATTTGTGCTTTACAAATAAAAATGACTTGATTTAATCTTCATTAATACAATTATCAGACAACCATACTGTTTTTTATTTTTTATAGAATATAAAAGATAATTAATACCTGCAGTATTTACCTGCTAAGTGTTCCTCACGCTCACCTTCACGTGCACAAAAGTGCATGTGTGGTGTGGAAGATATGTTATGTAAACCAACAGTTTGTTCCCCCCTCCTCACCCTCAATCTCTCCTTCTCTGTAGACACTGCAGCTCTGTCTGTCGCCCTTTGCTGTTGATAGTTAAACAACACAGTGTTACAGTGATGGCATTTACACACACACACACACACACACACACCGAGCAGATCACTGGTGAAAGACTCATTGTTCCCCTGATGCCCGTCCTCTCTGTTTTCCCTAGATTTGTTTTTTGCCTCTACTCTGTCTTTAAACTGAAGTGTTAAAAAAATTCAAAGAGTTGTGATGCAGGATTGTGTTGATGCAGCGAATGTGTGTGGAGGAAGTTCAGGCAAAGAGAGCAGGGGGAGGAGAAAGTACACACGCAAAGGAGTGTGTGTGTGTGTGTGTGTTAAAAGAGGGAAACTAGAGGCAGAGGGGGACTGGCAGACAAAAGTAGAAGAGGGGAGGGAAGAGTGAGGAGGAGAAGGTGGGGGAGGCGGCGCTAAGGCAGGCAGCAGGGAAAGAAAGCTGAGAAGAGGAGCAGTAGAGTGAAGTGAGGAGCATGAGGAGGAGGACGGGACTTTCATTTGAAATTCCTCTACTTGGAATATTATATCTCCAAGCAGTGCATAGACGGCAAAAAGCTGGAGTTTTGTAGAGAAGTGGAACACAAAGGAAAAAGAGGGAAAATCTGAGTCGACAGAAAGTGGAGTCTTTAAAAAGAAAAAATCTTTTTTTTTGAGAGAGAGAGACGGAGACAAGTGGAGGCAGCGATGCAGGGCTCGCATTGGGGTGAGTGAGGAGAGAGAAAAAGAGGGGGAGTGTGTGTGTATTTCTGTTTGTGTCTGCATGAAGTGTGTGTGATATGCGTGTGTCTGTCATGTCACCATTCTCTGTATTCATGCTTGATCCAGAGAACTTTGTATTCATGAGCACCATGTGGAGCCACTTCTGGAGGTGTCGACTGTGGAAAATGCTAGAAATGGCAGGTGTTGTTTGAATTGCTCATGCATACGATGACCTTTATCTGATTTGAAAACAACTTTAGGAAACGTTAAAGGCCAGAAAAGTTAGCCGTGACTTTTAAACTCCAGGAATCAGTGACAACTTGGTGTCATATGAGCGAAGATAAAAAGGTTGATTCAGAGTCTAAGTTAGTTTTTAGTGCAGTAGCTGCTGCAATTGATCTTTGTGGCCTGAAGGAGCAGGAACAGACAGCATGGATTTGTTTGAGGTGAGATGGTGGGCTTTTGTTTTGGTTTGGGGAAGGTTTTTCTAATCCCAGGCCTGAGGGTAATCTGCTCATTACAGACTGTCGGGGTATTGATTGGACATTGCAGTACGTGGAAAAGCTGTTCTGGACAGTTGGCCTGGAGGTGCACCAAGGAGGAGGGTGATACTCAATATCCCAATAACACACACACACACACACACACACACACAGTTGTGCAGCTATTCTTGTAAGGACAGTCCAACCAAAACTAACAACAACTCAAATCCAAACCCTAACCCACTTATTTAGTCTTTTTTTTCCAGAAAAGCAGAGCTTGATACAACGTATCAGTGCACTCATTCACCCAGTCATATCCTCCTGCCAACACTGCTTGTTTTCCATGACACCTCAGCCTGGGTTTATCTTGATGTGCTGTTTGGTTGTGCACGTATGCTTCATTCCTGTAAACATACCACAAGTGAAACCTTATCTTTGACTAATAATGGCTAAATAAAACCCATTTCTAGGTCTGATTTAACCACAACCACAAAAAAGTTTTTAAAAATGAGGTTTAGCCTCCTGAGGACCAGGCTTTGCTCTACATGAAAAAAAAAAAACAGTGAAGATAAGAAAGAGCAAGATATGGGAGTATTCACGTAGCTCTGAGACAGATGATTAGGCTGCAAAAATGTGATCTGTTTTCATCCACGGTGCTCAGAGGGAATCTTTGTGTCTGTCTTGATGACAAAGCTCTCTGGCAGACACTTGCCCCTACTGTTTCTCTTCTGACTTTCCTATGCGTGTAATTACAAGACTCTGTGTGCGCCTTGAGCCACATATTGTAGTTTCTCATCAAGTTTGTTATGGTTCAGAACTGATGTGTCAGCAGATACATTTATAGCCCATAAGTGGTTAGAA